TATTCTATTATAATATTAACCGCTTATAACTTGCGCCATCGTATTAACCCTTCGGTTGGTATCAGGTCAACTATCATGCTCTCAAACACTTTATAGAGAGCGGGTCAGCGGAGCCAAGTTGTCAATTAATAACAATCACATTACTTGATCATCAGATCAGTCTTCAGTTTCCGACGTATAAATCAATATTATACTTAATTTTTTTTATACTAGCTCTAAATTGGTTTAATTTATGTTTAGGGTTGTTTAAAAGTTTATGTTATTTTATAACATCATTGAACTTGATTTTTTTTATTAAAACAGCCGTTTAACTCTAACTTTAACGACATTAGATTTATTTGTCGTTTAAGTTACGAGTTAGACTATTTTAAAATCTGCACTAAGGTATTGTTTAATTTTTTTTCGGACTACTCTAATGCTTAGTTAATTTTAAACTTTCGTGTTTAATATACATTATTTAAATTATTAACCGGGTCTTATAAATACTCGGGTCGAATAATTTTATGGCAAATAAAGGTATTTACCTCTCTCGACGTTTTTTAATTTAAATAATACTCTAATGCTGTTGGCCGCAGCTGGTCTTTACAGCTTCACCGGACGTTAGGGGGCGAGTGCAGATGGCACTCCAAACGGAAGGACTTATGGAGCGGCTGCAGGCCACCTCTCGCCTGATGGATACGACTTTAGTCTGAGGACACCGCTTGGAGTTCGAGCCTCGGTTCAGACAGTCGTAATTCCGATCCCCGTTGCTTAAATTAGGTTTGTTTAAATACATAATTTTCTATTCTATTGTAGAATAGAATAGAAAATCCTTTATTCTTTCTATTCATGCTGATTTGGAAAGATTAAGAGTTGAGTTTCTTGTCAGTACCTCTCATCTCGAAATCATTCCGAACTGACAGTAGATTTGACATATCATAAGAGTCTGTAATAGACCTACATGAATAAAGATATTTTGATTTGATTTGTTTTTTCTGTACCTCAATAACGCTATGTGTCTGTTATTGGTGAATAAAGAATTTATTTATTTATTTATCCTTTATTGCATATATCCTTACTCCTTACTTTAATATTATAAATGCGAAAGTAACTCTGTTTGTCTGTCTGTCTCGCTTTCACTATAAAACTACTGAACGGATTTAAATGAAATTTGGTACATAGATAGTCTAGACCCTAGGAAAGGATAGATTACGTTATAATGTAAAATAAGGGTTGTAAGGGGCTGAAAGGGGATGAAAGTTTCAATGGAGGAAATTTATTTTTTATGCTATTGATTAAGTGTAATGTAACTAAATTGGACATTTAAAATATAGATACATTTTATTCTTAAGTGGGTAAAATTAAATAGGGAATGAAATGGAAATTCAATTGTTGATCATTTCATGCGGTCGTAGTCGCGGGTACAGACTATAATAAATGTACAATTGGCAAACTTAATGTCATGTGGCACTCTCTATCAGCTAACCATTGAGTATATATATTGCGGTTGAAGGGCAGTAATTTATCTATTTTCTAGTCTTCTGATAATAACAATAATAATCTCAGGATAATTCACACAGCGACATCTAGTCCCAAGTTAAGCTAGCTAAAGCTTATGTTATTGGTACTAGATAACTGATACAAATACGTAGATTTTTTTTCGTAAAACATACATATTATAAATAGAAAACACCCAGACCGATACAAACAATCATACTCATGAATACAAATGTTTGTGCCGTGCAAGGAATCGAAGCTGCGACCATCGGATGTAAAGCGGTGTGCTAGACCGCTAGACCACTGAGGGCGTCAAATGATATTTTTTCTGGTTTATTGAGGAATAAATAAACAAATTGATTATATTCCCAACGTCTAGAGTGCAGTATACGGGTGCGTTCCGGTCATGTACCACAATAAGAGTCGTAGTAGTCTTTGTGATACAATTGGAGTATTGAAAATATTATAGCTTTTGTACTCAAATTGTATTAACGATGCCATTGTGGCGGCCATTTGTGTTGTAGAAGCGAAGCGGGCGTATATCACAATGCAACATATTGAATCATAACCGGCTGGTTGTAATGCAATTAACAGATGATTTTTATTGTAATAGAGTTTCTTTAAAATAGTAATAGTCTTAATCATTACAAAACAAAGTCGCTGTCGCTGTCTGTCCGTCCCGATGTATGCTTAAATCTTTAAAACTACGCAACGGATTTTAATGCAGTTTTTTTTTCATAGATATAGTAATTCAAGACGAAGGTTAATTGTGACTAGCTTTTTAGCTAGTTAATTTATACCCTTAGGGGTAGAATTTATCAAAATCCTTTCTAAGGGGATGCCTACGTCATAGTAGCTTTATGTATGCAAAGTCTCAGCCCGATCGGTTTAAAATTAACAAAGTTTCATACAAACTTTCAACCCCTATTTTATCCCCTTGGGGGTAGAATTAATCAAAATCCTTTCTTAGCGAATGCCTACGTCATAACATCTACCTGCATGCCAAATTTCAGCCCGAACCGTCCAGTGATTTGGGCTGTGTGTTGATAGATCACTATGTTAGTCAGACACCTTTGAGTTATATATATATATATATATATATAGATAAATATACACCCGTGCGAAGCCGGGGCGAGTAGATAGTAATATTATAAATGCGATAATTTGTAAGTATGGATGTTTGTCACTCTTTTTAACTAGCTCAGCCGCACAACTTCGTCTGCATCACACCTACAAAAATTTATTATTATATTTCGCCCAATTTCTATAATATCTTTTAAAATTATAGCCTATGGCTTATTCTGTTGCATAAGCTATTTTACTATAAGTTTCATCCAAATCCGTTCAGTAGTTTTTGCTTGAAAGAGTAATATACATCACAAGCTTTCGCGTTTATAATATTACTAACTTTAGCCGCGGTTTCTCTCGCTTTGAATAAAAAAATATTTGTTTTTTAAATAAAAAGTATTCTATGTTCATTCTAATACCTCCAAGAGCATGTGTACAAAATTTCATGATGATCGGTTCAGTAGTTTATGCGTGAAAGTGTAACAAATATGTGTACTGTCACATTTATAATATTAGTTAAGGATTAAGATTATTATTATTACTGTAAAGTTTCATCAAAATCCGTTCAGTAGTTTTTGCGTGAAAGAGGAACAAACATCCATCCATACTCACAAACTTTAACATGTAAAGTTATAGTAATCATTACATAGTATAAAATAAAGTCGCTGTCGCTGTCTGTTCCTATGTATGCTATGTATCTTTAAAACTACGCAACGGATTTTGAAGCGGTTTTTTTTAAATAGATAGAGTGATTCAAGAGGAAGGTTTATATATATAATACATGTACGCCCGTGCGAAGCCGAGGCGAGTAGATAGTATGTTTATATATTAGTGACGACCTCGGTGGTCTAGCGGTCTAGCATACCGCTTTACGACCGATGGTCGCGGGTTCGATTCCTCGCACGGCACATTTGTATTCATGAGTATGATTGTTTGTATCGGTCTGGGTATTTTCTATGTATAATATGTATGTATTTATGAAAAAAAAAATATCTATGTATTTGTATCAGTTGTCTAGTACCCATAACACAAGCTTTAGCTAGCTTAACTTGGGTCTAGATGGCGCTGTGTGAATTGTCCTGATATTATTATTATTATTATTGTTTAAACGTGAATCGAGGATTTGAGGGATGGTTGATAGATATTTAATTATGTTATGAAATAAAAATACAATGTTGCGTTAATGTCTCTGTTAATTTTGAATTTTATTCTTTTTTTTTTATCTTTCTTTTTTTATTATGTTTTTACGAATATGGCAACGCACATTTTTGTAGGCTACCAGTTACATTTACATATATAGAAATTATACAATTATTATTAGTCATAATATTTCTTATCTAAGAAAGTGAGCGAGTGCGGGCGTTAGCCACAGAGTGATGTGAGGGCCACAATAGAATAATTTGTATTTATGGTTTTGGAGATGCCCTCTGCTTAAACTCCCGCATTACACGATTTACCGGAATCTGAGACATTTGGTCATCATTCATAAGGGTTTATACTCACAAATTTAGTATATTTAGAATATATTGACCTCGGTGGTCTAGCGGTTTTGTATACCGCTTTACTTCCCATGGTCGCGGGTTCGATGTCACCACGGTACGCAAGAGCTTGTGTGCCCATAACACAAGCTCTGCGTACCGTGGGACTTTTTTTTTTTAATACATACAAAATATACATAGAAAACAACTAGACCGGTACAAACAGTCATACTCATGAATACAAACGTTTGCACCATGCGAGGAATCGAACCCGCGACCATCGGAAGTAAAGCGGTATACAAAACTGCTAGACCACCGATAATGCTATGGTGCACCCGCCTGTGCTAATGGTTTACGCTGGCGGGGCACCAGTGGAAGATAAGATGAACATGAGGTCAGGTCAGTTAGCCCATCGTGACATATTTAGCAGAAATTTATCACGATGGTTTCCAGGGGGAACCGCGTGGAGGTCAACCTGACATGGTGCATTGCTAGTAACGGGGTCATGAGTCCACATTACTAGCAATCCCTTTCCCCTTTACCGTGGGACTACATGGTGCTATGTTAATTGTCCGGGGTTATTTATTATTTACATATATTTAGTATATTTACATATAAAAATGAAATTACATGATAAGAGGTATGATATCATAGTCCTTTGAAATCCCCTATTTCAAAGGAAGGAACAGGATTTTGGGTTTGTTAGCAATGTGAACTGGTGACCCCATTGTTAGTAATGTCAAGTTGACCTTCAGGCGGTTCTTCTGGCAACTTAATGTCAAGTTGACCCTCAGGCGGTTCTTCTGGCAACTTAATGTCAAGTTGACCCTCAGGCGGTTCTTCTGGCAACTTAATGTCAAGTTGACCTTCAGGCGGTTCTTCTGGCAACTTAATGTCAAGTTGACCTTCAGGTGGTTCTTCTGACAACTTAATGTCAAGTTGACCTTCAGGCGGTTCTTCTGGCAACTCAATGTCAAGTTAACCTTCATGTGGTTCTTCTGACAACTTAATGTCAAGTTGACCTTCAGGCGGTTCTTCTGGCAACTTAATGTCAAGTTGACCTTCAGGAGGTTCCTCTGACAACTTAATGTCAAGTTGACCTTCAGGCGGTTCTTCTGGCAACTTAATGTCAAGTTGACCCTCAGGCGGTTCTTCTGGCAACTTAATGTCAAGTTGACCCTTAGGCGGTTCCTCTGGCAACTTATTGTCAAGTTGACCCTCAGGCGGTTTTGCAGGCAACTTAATGTCAAGTTGACCCTCAGGCGGTTCTTCTGGCAAATTAATGTCAAGTTGACCCTCAGGCGGTTCTTCTGGCAAATTAATGTCAAATTGACCTTCAGGCGGTTCCTCTGGCAACTTAATGTCAAGTTGACCCTTAGGCAGTTCCTCTGGCAACTTAATGTCAAGTTGACCCTCAGGCGGTTCTGCTGGCAACTTAATATCAAGTTGACCCTCAGGCGGTTCTTCTGGCAAATTAATGTCAAGTTGACCTTCAGGAGGTTCCTCTGGCAACTTAATGTCAAGTTGACCCTTAGCCGGTTCCTCTGGCAACTTAATGTCAAGTTGACCCTCAGGCGGTTCTGCTGGCAACTTAATGTCAAGTTGACTCTCAGGCGGTTCTGCTGGCAACTTAATGTCAAGTTGACCCTCAGGCGGTTCTTCTGGCAAATTAATGTCAAGTTGACCTTCAGGAGGTTCCTCTGGCAACTATCGTGGTAAAATCCTGGTGCATTTGTCACTATGTGCTAACTAACCTGACCTTATGTTCATCTTATGACGCTCATTCGTTGTCTCGCCAGCGTTATGTAAAAAACATATCATAAACTCTGGATTATGTACAAATACAGCTAAAATTGTAATTAGACACTATACTGAGAAATAATATTCCTATTAATTATTTTATTTTTTAATGATCAAAATTGAAAAAAAATATATAGTTTTTTTTCAAAGTTTAATTTGAAAAAAAAAATTAATTTAAATTAATTTATTTATTTTCAAATTTAACCATTCACGTAATTTTCTTTTAAATAATATTATTGTACGTTTTCAGCGTATCAATAATATTATTATAAATTGTTACACGCAATTTGTCATAGTTTTTTGTATACTATAACATTGTTGAGAATCTGTTACGACTTCTGTATATATTCAGGCTTAAATATCATAAGATTCTTTAAAGAAAAGAAAATATATTTATTTTACAAAAATAGAATAGAATAGAATAATATTTATTTCGGAAAACTTCAAAGTCAAAGTAAGTTTAACATAATTAGACATAAAATAGTTTAATAAAAGCATAACAAAAAATCTATAACATTATTTACTTTCTATTAACACCCGCTCGTGTGTACACAGCTTTATGCAATGAAATCTATTGACACGGGCGTGGATACTTATAATATAGAATTGGTACAAATGGTGACGGGTTTGATTCCAGATTTTGTAACATTTCTGTACAATTACCAGCCAGCCTATTGTGTCACTATTAAACGATGCGGGATGTTTGTGTTTACGCGACTGTGGAAATATTGTATGGGAATAATATTGTTGATAGAATAAATAAATGATTTCCCCGGTGGTCTAGCGGTTTAGCTTACCGCTTCACTTCCGATGGTGCGGTTTCGATTCCTCGTAGGTTACTAAAAATTGTAATCAAGAGTACGAATGTGTGTTAATTTTTTAATGGATCATTTTTTTTATTGGATTGTTTGGGCTATTGTCAGATGTGTAGCACCTGCAGCACGGCGATCTACATAGATCTATTGTGCTCGCAAAAATATAATGGATCATAATGAATAATGGAATTGTGATCTCGCCTGCGTTAACATTTATGCTAACGGAGCACCAGTGGGGGATGATAAAATGAGCATGAACTTATTTCAGTTAGCTCCCTGGAAATTATCTTGGTAAGTAGCAATTTACCACGATGGTTTCGGGGGTACAACGTGGAGGTCAACCTGACATGGTTCATTCAGATCCCCTTCCCTACCCATCTATCTATTTATTGTATATCAGATGTCTAGTGTCCATAACACAAACTCTGCTTAGCTTGGTAGGAGGCTCTTCTGAAACCGCACTGTCGCATTTTTTTATCACATAGCTCAAAGGAGAGATGGTCGTTGTGGCAGTAACGAGGACTTTACTTTACTTTACTTTAGTGGCGACCACGGACTGGAAGACGCAGCGTGGAAGGGCTCCAGCGAGGTGGACCGAGGATCTGGTCAAGATGGCTGGAAGAACGGATCGTCGTGAAGATCTTTGGCCGCCTTGTTCAGCAGTGGACGTCTTCCGGGCTGAGATGATGATGATGATCTTTTTCTGTCATTATACATAAAAAGATCATCATTTATACCGCTTTACGACCGGTTCGATTCCTCGCACGGCACAAACATTTGTATTCATGAGTATGATTGTTTGTATCGGTCTGGGTATTTTCTATGTATAATATGTATGTATTTACGAAAAAAAAAAAATTATCTATGTATTTGTATCAGTTGTCTAGGACCCATAACACAAGCTTTAGCTAGCTTAACTTGGGTCTAGATGGCGCTGTGTGAATTGTCCTGAGATTATTATTATTATTATTATACATCTATATAATTTTTGGTTTGTGTTTCGTAACACCAAAATTTAATGTTACCATTATCTTTAATTTCCCTTCATAATCTCGCAAACGATGAACGTTAACAACAAAATTAGACGTGCGTGTGGCAACACTAATTGACATAATTGGATTAAGTGTGCTGCTCGTAGCAATTGTATGAAACAGTACACCGAGTGGTGACCACCCGGTAACCGTCACCACTGCTTGCATGGTAAGTTACGACTGAAAATACTGTCTGTTTGTCTGGTACCTTATCATACCTAAATAATTTCACACACACCGAACCGGAAAATAAAATAAAATATTAAAGAGGATAAAGAAAGAGATACACCGTCGAGTGGTGACCACCCAGCCAGCGTCACCACCGCATTCTTAGGTAAGTTGTGAGTGAAAAACTATATGTTTATCTGGTGCGTAATCACGCCTAAATAATTTCATAGATATACTAAACCGGAACAGAGGAAATTTACTACTGACAAAAATTTATATAATTAAATTAAATTTTATGATACGCTATTTGAAATATCTCTCGAAACGCCAGCCATTTCTCAAGTGTACCATCGAAAATATTGTACTACATTAATTGTATTTTTTTATATGCAAATTTGATAGATGTTGATGAAAATCTATTCTTGTTATAGGTACATGTTCAAATTGTACAGTGTAAAATACAAGTAAAATTGATGTGCCTGCTTGTAATATCAAGTTAAAGATTTTCACAAAATGGATATGAAGGTATGTAAAAAAAAACTGTCAGTTTGCTTCTGCTAATCTCTGAAACGGATGGACGGATTTTGGTGAGACTTTCATTCGCAGATAGCTCATGTTATGTCGAGTAACTTAGGCTACTTTTATATTAGAAATTTTATTTACATTAATAAAAAAATAAATTTTTGTAAAGTTAGGTTTAACTGTTACTACTTAATATTTATAATAAAAGTTGTTATTCTATTTTAATATTATTGATTTAGACCTTCCTGAATTGTATAGGCCTTGCTAATTCCCAGGTAATGGCTTTAAACTTAAACCATTATTTAACCCACTAAACTTATCGTGTGTTTATTATCAAAATCCCCGGTTCGAGTCTCGGCGGAGGCATGCGAGTGTTCGTACAGACCGCACGTATAAATGTTTACACCTCGCGCCTGCTACTCCTCATTTTGACAGATCAGGCAAACATGCACACAGACAAAACAACTTTAATCTCTTAACTGAGTTGTTTCAACTTGGACTCTATTTCCTAACATTTAAGTTCACTTTGGAATGAGGGCTGTTAATTTTAACGGCATTTAAAAAGTCTAGACATCACTACGTACTTTAACGCTAAAAGAGTTATATTAAAAAATTGACAAGCAATTTGTAACTTTATGTGATGGTATTAGAGTCGGTAATGGTTGTGTAAGTATATTTTTCCTATGTTTTAATGAAGTTCAAATGTAAGTAAGTAATATAAGTAAAAAGCGCGTGATCCTAGAGATCAAAGAAATATTAACCCGCTCATGTTTAATCGTTCTAAAACGACTTGATACTTTCAAATTTTAAATATTGTGGCTTTGTATGGGATATGGCACTCTTTTACATTCTTTGATCCACTTTCCCCTTTCCTTCAAATCGAAGGATATCATTGGAATTATTGACAGAGAAATTAAAAAGTACATTGAATACTCTGGCATGACAATTCAACGGATGTGGGGGGGGGGGGGGAGACTCTCGACTCCATTGGGGGTGGTCTATCGGTGCTACCGTGGCAGATTGCCGTCGTCAGTGCCGTGACCATAGAGACAATTTTATTTTTCATATTTTATTATTATTTCTTATGTATGTTAGTCTATAAGGTATTTATAATATGGGCCATGTAGCCTGAATTAAATAAATAAATAAATAAAAAAAAAATTGCTAGCAATGTACCATGTCACGTTGACCTTCACGTGGTTCTCTCTGGAAACCATCGTGGTAAATTGCTGCTTAATTTGTCACGATGTGCTAACTGACCTGACGTAATGCTCATCCTATCATCCTCCACTGGTGCCACGTACGTGGGAAGAACGAGATTATTAGTAATGTGGACAGATAGACATTGTGACAAATTCCTGGTGAATTTGTCACGATGGGCTAACTGACGTGACCTCATCTTATCATCCTCCACTGGTGCCCCGCCAGCGTAAACCGTTAACGCAGGCGAGTGCACCATTCCATTATCATCAGTAAAAAAATGCAAACTGACCTGGCATCATGCTCATCTTATTATCCCTACATCCATACAAATGTATGTGGCGTGCGAGGAATCGAACCCGCGGCCATCCGAGTTAACCGTTAGACCACCGATATTGTGAAATTTATTAAAATGATCAAGAGTGTGTGTAGTATGATCGGTGCGGTCCGTTTGATGTGTCTGTCTGTTTACGTACTCACCACATCTGTGTTTGGCGTTAAATAAACCCCAGGACCAACACACCAACACGCCAACACACCAACTGTGGCCAGCATGACGAGACATTGGCTGCGAAGTTGCAGTATACTAGTTACTTTGTAAATCACATATAATATGCTAAATACATATATAATCACACTAGCTTTTGACCGCGGCTTCGTTCGCGTTAATTTATCCCCTTAGAGGTGGAATTTATCAAAATCGTTTCTTAGGGGATGCCTACGTCATAGTAGCTTTATGCATGCAAAGTCTCAGCCCGATCGGTTTAAAATTGACAAAGTTTCATACATACTTTCATCCCCTATGTTATCCCCTTGGGGGTAGAATTAATCAAAATCCTTTCTTAGGGGATGCCTACGTCATAACATCTACCTGCATGCCTAATTTCAGCCCGATCCGTCCTGTGGTTTGGGCTGTGCGTTGATAGATCACTACGTCAGTCACCTTTGAGTTATATATTATATATTTAGATATATATGGCGGCCTCGGTGGTCTAGCGGTTTAACACACCACCTTACTTCCGATGGTCGCGGGTTCGATTCCTCGCACGACATAAACATTTGTATTCATGAGTATGCTTGTTTTTATCGGTCTGTGCGTTTTCTATGTATAATATATATTTACGAAAAAAGTGGTATCTAAGTGTTTGTATTAGTTATCTAGTACCTATAACACAAGCTTTTGCTAGCTTAACTTGGGTGCTGTGAGAATTGTCTTGAGATTATTATTATATACAATATCGACCGCGGAGCGGAAGACGCAGCGTGGGAAGGCCTCAAACAAGATGGACCGATGATCTGGTCAAGATCGCTGGAAGGCATTGGATGCGAGCAGCGCAGGATCGTCGTGGAGATCTTTGGTGGCCTTTGTTCAGCAATGGACGTCTTCCGGGCTGCAATGATGATCATGATAAATGTCTATACATATAAATAAAATTGGAGTGTCTGTTTGTAATATTGATATTTCTTACTACATACATATGAATATAAACACGGTATATATACCAAAAAATATTTTTTAGAATTTTTGTCTGTCTGTCTATCTGTCCGTTTGTTCCGGCTAATCTCTGAAATTGCTGGACCGATTTTGACGGGATTTTTTTGGCAGGTTGCTGATGTAATAAGGAGTAACTTAGGCTACTTTTATTTTAGAAAAATAAAGTTAAAATCCACGCGGACGAAGTCGCGAGTACAGCTAGTCTTATATATAAAATTCTCGAGTCACAATGTTAGTTACCATGCGCCTACGAAACCTTGATTGATATTTATATGAAATTTTATATGCATGTTCAGTAGATCTGAGAATCAGGTACTACCTATTTTTCAACCCATACAAAATTCAAAAAAATTCAAAATTCAAAATATCTTTATTCATGTAGGTCTATTACAGACTCTTATGATATGTCAAATCTACCGTCAGTTCGGAATGATTTCGAGATGAGAAGAACTGACAAGAAACTCAGCTCGTATTTTTTTTAAGTGTTGTACATATTTAGATAGATAGATATAGATAATTGATTTATTGCCAACATAACACAAATAGTACAATTTACAATACACGTATGTTATGTTAATATTCAGTTTCTCAATTACTTAAAATTTGTTTTTCCAGTACAGCTCTTTTCAAATTACATTTGAAACTAAATCATTCACCCAAGTACTAGTGTCTAGTACCTAAAACACAAGCACTGTTTACCGTACTAGATGGCGCTGTGTTAATTGTCCAGAGTTATATATTATTATTTATTTATTTTATTTATATGTATAGCATATAAATAAAATTGGTCTGTTTGTAATATTCAAATAACCGTTTTTTACTACATGCATATGAATATAAATACGGTACACTTGCCAAATTAACATTTTTTACAATTTTTGTCTCTGTTTGTTAGGCTAATCTCTGAAATTGCTGGACCGATTTTGACGGGATTTTTTTGGCAGGTAGCTGATGGAGTGTCTTAGGTTATTTTAGAAAAGTTAAATTCCAAGCGTACGATGTCGCGGGTACAGCTAGTTTTTAATATGATCAGTGTCTCAAAATTAATAATTAGACCCTGATATACTGAATCGATGTTCATCAAATGTTGGTATATTGGTCCATTATTGGTTGAAACGATCTGTTTGTTACAACGTTGGCTCGGTTTGCCCCAATGAGCTATATTGTATGTAAACAAAACTCCTTGGTTCCATGATTATGTTTGGTGCAATTCATGAGTTGACAGAGGAATTCTCTGTCAACAATATTTCAGTACCTCAATGTTTTCAGACTACTCTAATGCAGTTGGCCGCAGCTGGCCTTTACAGCTACACCGGACGATAGGGGTGAAGTGCAGATGGCGCTCCAAACCAGCGGAAGTAGTTATGGAGCAGCTGAAGGCCAAATCTCGCCTGTCGGATACTCTTATGCTGTTGGCCGTAGCTGGCCTTTACAGTTTCATCGGACGATAGGGGGCGAGTGCAGATTGCACTCCAAATCAGCGGAAGGAGTTATGGGGCGGCTGAAGGCCAACTCCCGCCTCACGGATACTCTTATGCTATTGGCCGCAGCTTGCCTTTACATCTTCACCGGACGATAGGAGACGAGTGCAGATGGCGCTCCAAATTTATACTCTTATGCTATTGGCCGCAGCTTTACAGCTACGGCCTTTAAACCCGCGGAAGTCCTTCCGATTTACTAATCCACCGGACGATAAGGGGCGAGTGCAGATGGCACTCCAAACCCGCGGAAGGACTTATGGAGCGGCTGAAGGCCAACTACCGTCTGACGGATACGACATCTGTCTGAGGGTCTTAGGGCACCGCTATGGGTTGAAACTTCGGCTCAGGCCGTCGTAATTTGGATTCACGTTTGAATTGGACGAAATGTCGATCGGAGGGGTTAATAACAAGAGTTAGTTATGAATTTCCAAAGCTTTATACGTTGGAAATTCATTTCTCTAGCTCTAGGATGGTTGACGTCAGCCCGCAGTCCGGTCACAAAAAAATCCGAAATCCTTATTAATATGCATAAAATCATTTAACGTCGACCAGAATTAACATAAGACGAGGTCATGAAAATGATATACATTCTTTTTTTATAGAAATAATCAACAATATTATAGAGAAGTTTTACGGTATTTGAGCGGTAGATTGAAAATAAATGTGATGATTATTCAGAAATTAATATTTTTCTATTCTATTTGTACTATAAAATAATATAGCAATATAGAGTGGAACTCTCTCCCAGCGTCTACCATATGTTTCCTGCCTCTTACAACATTGGGTTCAAGTCAAGAGTGCCTATTAAAGGCACTATTTGAGCTGGCGTGTAACACCTTAGACCACACCATCACTTAACTTCAGGTGGGATTGCGGTCAAATTTAGAATTGAAAACTAAAAAAAAAATCCGGACCCGCTCGCCGCTCTTGTTTGTACCACTCTCGTCGGATCTCACCCCACTTTGAAGTGGCTCCAGATATTTGCGCGTTGTTTATTTATTTTCATATCTGCGGTGGGCCCACTATCCGTGACTTATGAACTGACCGACAGCTCCCACTTTATAATTCACTAAAGCATTAAACATTAGTGGTACGTACTCTTGTAAATGTGATTTATACACTTGTTTCGTGTTACACTATCAGTTATTACAAGTATATCATTGCCTTGCTTTATACAATTATTTGTGGTCGGTGCAGTATGTCATGTTCTTCAATTGGGTCCTGTAAATACATGTACACACAAATATACGCACACAAAGCTTACTAAATATCCTAAGATTTATATATTGATATATAAAAGAATAAAGTAATCTAAACATATAAATAAAATTGGTGTCTCTGTTTGTAATATTGAAATAACCGTTTCTTACTACATGCATATGAATATAAATACGGTACATACACCAAAATAACTTTTCTTACAATTTTTGTCTGTCTGTCTGTCGGTCTGTTTGTTCCGGCTATTTTATAAAACATAATATTAAATAGAGATTGAAGAGAACTTTAGAGCAAATATATATTATCATATTTATTATTTAGATATTATGTTATAACAGTTTTGAATTGCAAGTAATTGTTGGAAGTACATATTTTAAGGTACAAAATAAAGACATTGTATATTCAGTGATTACACTTTTCATTGTTTTTAAAGAAGATTCCCTAATAAACAAAGCTGAACCAATCAATACGAGCTGAGTTTCTTGTCAGTTCTTCTCATCTCGAAATCATTCCGAACTGATGGTAGATTTGACATGTCATAAGAGTCTGTAATAGACCTACATGTATAAAGATATTTTGAATTTGAATTGAATTGAACATAATAAAAATGCAAACTATTATAAAATCCTTGCTCCTTACTAATATTATAAATGAAAAAGTAACTCTGTCTGTCTGTCTGTCTGTCGCGCTTTCACGCCAAAACTACTGAACTGATTCAAATGAAATTTGGTACACAGTTAGTTTAGACCCTGCGAAAGGACATAGGTAGCCCATTTTTAATGCGAAAAAAGGATTGTAAGGGCTTGATTGATGAAAAGTTGTATGAAAGTATCGTCATTTTTAAAGCTAGATGCTTGAAACTTAAAATAATTAAAAATGCTATTCATACCAAGCTGACTAAATGGCGGGCAAAACTAGTGATATTTAAAGTATTTGCTGAAAGGACTCCACTCTGCTGAGACCTTCCGTGGAGACCTTAGGGTAAATAACAGCATAATCTCTCCCTTCCCACCAAACCGAGCGAGCTAAGCGAGATAGAGGTACCTAACCTAACGGTTATGTAACTAAGCACCCTTTATTAAACTCGTGGTTAGTTTACAATTAATTCGATTATTATAGCACAGTCAGGATATGGCTTCTTATTGGAAACCATACTGTTGAGTATTATGAGGCAATATTACGATGTCAATCATTTCTGTACGATACCTTTAAGCTGATTAGAGTACCCTCGAAACTGATAAGTCGTAACTGGATAGCTCTATAGTAATAATAATAATTTTTAAGGAAATAGCAAAAAGGTTAGTCGACATCACAGGAGACTGAAGAGCTGGCAGCTACCTCGGATAAAGAATTAGTCTAGC